GTGCCCTCCGCCTGTGAGAGGAGATCTCGCCTGACGGGAATCTCCCATAGAGCTCCGTCGAGGAGAGAAATCAGGCCTTAGACCCAACTCGGCCCGGCCGGAACGGGGATACTAACAACAGACGGGCCCTGCACTCTCTCCAGAACTCCCGGGAGCAGAAAAATCGGAGGACAGGTGTACAGACGAAGCCTCGGCCACGTCTGTACCATGGCATCCAGCCCCACTGGAACTGGATGAGTCAGAGAGAACCAGAGGGGACAGTGTGATACCATATGAGTAGCAACAGGTCCACCTGAGCCTGGCCAAACACTCTCCATATCTGCTTCACCACCTCGGGGTGAAACATCCATTCCCCGGGCCTCAGCCCCTGCTCGACAGGATGTCTGCTCCCATATTGAGATGCCCAGGAATGTGAACTGCTCTCAGCGAGAGGAGTTTGCCCTGGGACCACACAAGTATCTGGTGTGCCAGCTTGTAAAAGGGGCGCGAACGCAGAACTCCCTGGTGGTTGATGTAAGAGACCACCGTTGTGCTGTTACCAACACATGGTGACCTCTTAGGTCTGGGAGAACTCGAAACAGGGCCAGGCATCTCCCAACAATTGAATGCCATGTCAGATGGCGACCGGTTTCCTCCACATGTCTAAGGCACGTAGGCACCTCCGCGTGACCTTGAGCATGCGAAGGGGGTTTCCCCTCTGGGAGAACCCCTTGTTCTTGTGCCACCAGTGTAGGGGTCTCATGCACAGCCGGCCAAGAGTTATCACGTTGGACACAGCTGTCATCAGCCCAAGCAGTCTGGAACTGCTTGACAGTGAGTGGCCGGCCTTCTCTTACTCTCGCGACTGAGGTGAGGATCAACTCGATCCGAGCAGGAGACATACATACCTGCATCAGTGTGAGCATTCTGAACTTCAGTCGCATGACTGAGCTGTTCAATAGGCGCAGATCTAAAATGGGACGCAACCCTCCCCATCCTTCTTCGGAACAATGAAGTACCGGCTGTAGAACCCGGAGTCTGTCTCGTGCGGAGGGACCACCTCGATGGCCTCCTTCCTTAAGAGGAGTAACTACTACTTGTTCTAATACCCGAGCCTGCTAGGGACCCACTAGCGTGGGGGTGACCCCGTTGAATCGAGGTGGACGAGAACCGAACTGGCTTCCGTAGCCTCTTTCTACAGTACGCAGGACCCATTGAGATACATTTGGCAGTAGCTTCCATGCTGCTAAATAATCTACTAAGGGAATCAGTCTCTCGAGTTACAGCTAGTTTGGTGCCTTGACGCGTCTGCACGCCGACAGGGGATGCTGAACTAGCTGCTCTGGGGACCTCCGCAGAGGCCGCGAGCCTCTCAGTGCCGCTACGTTGCCGGGCGGAAACTGAGAGAAGCGCTTGCCGGATACCGCTGCGCCCTGGAACATGGCAGGGTTGGCAGACCGACCTTCTGAGGGCACTGAGGAGAGACAGGCAGCGTGTAATGTGGTGTACACCGCTCTTCCCCAGAGGGAGCTGGCCCTCAAAAAGTCCTAGGCCTTAGGCGTCAGGACATTTACGACGAAGACTATCCAGTGAGAATGACGGTCTGCAGACCTGCCTTCTGCTAGAAGCCATCGGCCTGGGAGCTCCACTCTGACTCTAGACTCTGCGGAGTACGAGAAGTGAGGCCCCCAGAATGAGGGGCTGGAACACGGTGGGT